GACATTAGGAGTCTGGGATTTTTTTGGCTTCTTGAAGATGGTGAGCCGAGAGAAGTAATCAATTAGGTAAAATTAGTTATTTATTAGGGATTTAGGTGAGATTGAGATTTGAAAATTAGAAAATAAAATATATAAATAATAAATTAAAAAATATTTACTTTTCAAATAGGTAAACTGGTCAAACCCGTTAACCCGTTGGGTTAACCCGTTATTGACCCATTACTTGTTGGGTTCTGTTAACGGGTTATTAATGGGTCACGGGTCATGAACATTTGACCCTAACCCGTTTTAAACGGGTGGATAACGGGCGGGTTAACGGGTTGGGTAAAAAATTGCCAGGTCTAATGGAACCTAGTTTTTCACAAAAAATGGTCCAAAAATATTTAATTAGAGTGTTTTTTTTTTCTTTTTTTGTACTAATCTCTTGGTATTTAGAACCTACATTGGGTCTTGACTAATTCACAGTCAAGCTGAATGAGACCCCGTAATGGGGGAAAAGCTCTTTCAATGTCAGTTTTCTCCATTTACAATAATCGAACTCGAGACTTACTTTAAGAGAATCGAATTCTTTCTCCTTGGACCATCATATTATTGGTAGTGTTTGTTTATTGTTTCTCTACTACATGCTAATATCAACGCTAGGTTAAAATGAAAGAAAAACAGGAAAATCTGTTTTTTAGCCCGAACTGACTAATTACATAGTAAAAAAAGGAAAAAAAAAAAAATCAGAAATTGGTTCTCTTACCATACAAAATCATAAATGCAAAATATTCTCTTACCATAAATCCCTCATGCCAGACTGCCTTAAATCCTAACCAATCCCTATGTTCCTTTTGTCACACGAAAGCGAGGAACAATATAGGGTCTGTGGCACTGTGCATTGAAGTTTTCTTTCCACCTAGGTTAAGGTTTGTTTCTTTCTGAGTTTATTTGATTCAAAAATCTTTTCTTCTTTTACTCTGGGGAAAAAATTTTGGCATTCAAACCAGATTTCGTTTCCTTATTTAATCCTAGTCAAAACCCTTAAGCCCTACGGTAGAAAGAACTTGTGTGGGTTGAGAGCTTCCATATATTGAAGGTAAGGTCTGGTGTATAGTTTCTAACTTGTGTTAATGAAAACTGAACTACAGAGTTTAATTGTTAATCATTTTACATTTCTTTTTGGTACGTTAGAAGATAGGTTATACATCAAAAGATAATTTTTTCTTTTCAAATCTTTCTTCACCCATTTCAAAATTTGAATTTAAGATCTTTACATGGAGACTTAAGTTTCTAACCATTAAGAGTTCACTAGGAGATCCTTTTGCATATTATTGTGCTGATCAATTCCAATACATTTCAAGATCATGAATTGAGAAAAAGGTGGGTTAATAAACTTTTTTGTTTTTTGGTTGAGACAACAGAAAACGATGTCGGACGTAGATCCATCTGTGTTCAGGACAACATCAACCTTGACTTTGAGGTTTCTGGCAACTTTGACGAGCCTTATAGCGGCAGTGGTAATGTATGTAAGTCGTGAGAAATTTGTAAAGGCCACTGACCTTGTATGCTTCTAGTAAGCACTGCACTTTTCTCATTTCTTTTAGCTCTATATATGATTGTTTTTTTTCTTCCTTTTTGACACTAACGAATAAATGCTTTTCTTCAGCTACTTCATTGTAGTTAATGGAATTGTTAGCGGTTATAGCCTTCTAGTTTTCGCCCTTCCAGCTCTCAGTTTGCTCTGGCGATTCATCATAGTCCTAGATGTGGTAATGATTAGTATTAAAAATTCTTCCTCTAGTATACATGGCTTACTTCTCTACGCACGTGTTTGATCTAATTGTAATTTTTGTAATAGTTTTGTTTGAAGAAAAATTTTTCCATATTAATTACACTCTGCCAATTTTCAATTCAATTTTGAATTTCTTCTTCAGGTTGTGGGAATGCTGCTCACTGCAGTCAATTCAGCAGCCTTGGGAATGGCTTATTTGGAAAAGTACGGTAATACACATGCAAAATGGGGACCAATCTGCAGTAATGTCCCTCAATACTGCTCCAAAGTCATGTGGGCTTTAATTGCTGGGTATATCGCGGTTTCCATGTATCTTTTCCTCTCCATCCTTTGCATATATTTTACCCTGAATCCTCTTCTCCTTCAAGGGGCAAAGGAGTAGCAGGTTGTTCATCAGTCTCTTTCCTTGATTTTATTCATGTCCCAAGATTGTTTGAGGCAGCAGAATTGACGATCTTTGGAATTATACTACTTTTCTTTTCTAGAACTTTTCCTTTTCATATGTATTAGTTGAAGATTGATAGCAGAACTATTTTTTTTTACTTTGTCAATTTAATACTCATTAACTTCAATATCTTGAATTAGAGATGTAAGGATTTGTCATTTAAATTTATGTAATATATGTGGGCCTCTTTCCTTGATATTATGCATGTCCCCAGATTGTTTGTGGCAGCAGAATTCACGATCTTAGGAATTAGACTACTTTTATTTTCTAGAAATTTTCCTTTTCATATGTATTAGTTGAAAATTAATAGCAGTATTTTCTTTACTTTTTCAATTTAAAATTCATTAACTTAAATATCTAGAATCAAAGATATAAAGATTCGTCATGTAAGTTTATGTAATATCCATGTACCTGCGGGTTTTAATTGCATTGAATATTGGAAGAACAGTCAAAGCATGAGAAATTTAAAGGGAAAGGGAAATGAATGGAGACTCAGCATCGCACTCATATGTGAACAAGTTTAAATTTCCAAATTGCTAAATGACATATTGACTAGAAATTGTACCATGTGTTGAAATGTATGTTCTGTTTTTTTAGTTCATACCCCTTGGAGATACTACATTTATTTAATTGTTACTTTCGGCTGAGAGTGATTTAGTCTTTGATTCATGCTAGATATTATACAAATGTCTATACATTGTTGCTTCCTCCTTCCCAGCATGACAGTTTCTGCTGACTAAAATGCGGCTGTAATTGGCGATGGAGATTGTCTAGCTCATTCCTATGGACCAAGATGTTGCCAAGGAAGAAAATTTGAAAAATAAAATAAATGGGCATTAATGGTTTTTTCTTTCTTGAAGAATTTTCAATTCCTAGAAGTGGGATCCACAGTCTGCCAATTAAAAAAAACAACAAAGAAATGGGATCCACAAGCTTTTGAATTAGTTTAAATGTCAATTATACGCTTTTCTATATATTTTTATTTTTTGAATTATAAAAAATATATTTTATTAGTTATTTTGTTCGTTAAATTTATTTAAATATATATTTTTGGTCTCAAAATTTTTAATATATACATATTTTAATTTTAAATTATCAAATATACATATTTAAACATACTTAACAAACAAAAAAAATCCTCATTAGGTTAAAAAAGTGAGATAAAAAATAAAAATAATATAATTAAAATATTATATAATATTATAAATCTATAATTATAACATTGTATTGTGCACCAAGCAAGCGTGTTAGGTGAACGCCACAATGCATGTATGCCTACACACTTCATATATGTCTATGGTTCGTTTGATAATA